TTCTTTCATTCAATACACACATACCACAGGGTCCCTCACCACAAAATGATTCGGGAATTTCAATCATGTGATAAATACGTAATTTATAGGCTTTGGCTGGATCATTGGTAAGTGGGTATAATTCTGAAACGATATTGCTCTCCTCCGGTTTGGAGGGATATGGGAGAGGGGAGGGGAGGGGACCGTGGAAGCTCTCCGGGTTTCACCACAAGAAAGAACAAACGGCACTAAGCTGAAGCACATTTCTTGAATGCAGGTTTGAGAATAACATCCAAGATTCCCAAATATAGATTTAGCTATGATTTCAAGAAACTAAACTCTTCAGTCGTCTCACAAAAGTTGCGAAGTTTGCTCGCTGGTCAAGTGATAGAAATCGAGATTTTGATGCCAACGTGTACTCTGGACGTGGGCAATACTAATACGCAACGTATTCCCGAGGACGGCCCGGCTTTCTGTTAGCACTCTTGTATCATTATTTTCATCCATCTTCTATATAGGAGGGGTTCGATTACTTTATTCGAGGATTAATTGCGGGAAGAACCTAAAATATGCAATCAGTTTATCACTTGTCCGGATAAATACAAGGGATCCGAACTTAACCCCGAACACCCGCACTTTGATCGATGAAGGAAAGTTGATGATCTACATCATTCGGTACTGACCGTCAACTTTATTTGCACGGTTGGAGTATTCATATGTGAGTATTTGGATACCCTGCTGAAAGACGACCCGCGAAAATCCGGGGTAATTGAAGCCGACATCCTTCGAGATGCTCACTGCCATGCTCCAATACCAGGGTCAAAGTAAGAACGCAGGTACATCGCGAGATGGCGGTGGCGGATGAGAGGGTAGCATAAGTATGTGTCTAAAACCCTGATTTATGGCACTGAAAATTCAGTTGAAATCGAGTTAGGAATACCTTCAATAGATCTCGCTATTTGTTCAAGATGACATTATTGAAGGAAATTTCCTGGTTATTACTGCCTGCCTTTGCGCAAGCTGCCACAGTAAATTATACTATACCATCGACAGCAGCAGCCAGTGCAGCAAAACTTGCTCCTGCTCCTGTTGGTTTATCGTAAGTTTTTATCCCGTGATTTCTCAAATTCTACTGTTGATATCATAACCATTTTACTAACTTTTTATCAGATTCGAGTTCTTTGCATACCCATCATACTTTACAAATGTTACAGCTACAAACCAATGTTTAGCAAATTTCAAAGATTTGAGTGGAACATGGCCTCCTATTCGAATTGGTGGTACTACACAGTAGGTTATTTTCATGAGTCCAAGAGTCTTCAGAATTAATGCAAATGAACAGAGATCGTGCAACATATGATGCAAATACAAGCGCATATGTCGTTTACAGTGTTAGTTCATCTGTCGATGCACCAGCTTCATTGACATATGGTCCTAATTTTATGAAACTTGCGTCTACATATCCTGGGACTGTGGTGTTAGGTAAACTTCATTTTTCTTCTTAACCCTAAGTTTTCGATGAATGTTCATCTGACTTGAGATGACTAAAGGACTGAATCGTGGTCATAATGATATTACGAATACAATTGCGGCAGCAAAATCCGCAAAGGGTAGTATGGGAAATCTCAAAGCCATTGAACTTGGTAATGAACCAGAATGTATGTCTATTCAGTCAACATCGCATTGAACACAAATCTGATTTACCTCATCCAGATTATACTAGTGATGGTCAACCCATTGCATCTCCCTCATGGACCCCTGCTATTGATGCTGCCTCTCAAAATAACTGGGACATCCAAGTAGGAACAGCTCTTCAATCCACAAATATAATTCAAGCTGGAAACTCTAATGCTTCACCACCTACATGGGGAGCCGCTGAACTCATCGCGAGTGGGAATGCCACTGTGAGGACTTATGTGAAGGATTATGCACATCATAATTATCCAGGTGGTACTCTTCAGAATCTGATGAGCCACAGTGGGATTGTTAGTAATTTGGCACCAATTGGAACAGATGGTAAGGCAGCGAATGCCGTTGGAAAGGAATATGTTTTGGGGGAGACAAATTCCGGTGTGTATTCCTTTTCGTATGAATCAATGAGATTGCGGATGAACGTTTAAGCAAAGACTAACAATATTTGCGCCAAGTCTCCGGCGGAGGTGCTGCAACTGTTTCTCCAACTTTTGGAGCTGCCCTTTGGACCCTCGATTACACACTTCAGGCTACAGTTTTGAATATCACTACTGTATATTATCATCATGGAACCATTGGCGCTTGTTACTACTGTTGGTGGGGCCGATATGACGCTGGCGCCCCTTACTATGGAGCTTGGCTTGCAGCTGCAGCTTTTGCCGGATCTTCTTATATCCAACAGATCGATTCCGGTAGTTCTAATTACGGTATTTACGTACTATACAATAGTTCTAAGGCCCCGATCAAAGCGGTATTGATCAACAGTGATTATTACGCCGGGACTGGGACAAGAGGAAGTGAGACATTTGTTCTTGGGGGACTGACAGTAGGAAAAGGAACAAAGGCGAAGAGATTGACTGCAGGAAGTGCTTTGAGTAGGGTGGACCAAGGATCCAATCCATCATTTGGAGGTCAGATTGTCGCTAATGGTACTTGTGTTATTGGTGGTACGGAGACTTTTGAGACGGGAACGGTGGGAAGTACTGGTACGGCGAGTTTTACCGTTGCGGCGAGTGAGGCTTTGTTGGTTTATTTCTGAGAAGACATTGGAGTGATAGTTCAAGGTTGAGTAAGATGTATATAAAAAATGATAGTCGAATGTGTAAAAATCAAATCATAGTCGCAATAATATCTTTGCATTCACAGAGTTCCTATAGCCGTATGATACCCACAGCTCCACGACCTTCAGAACCTTCAGAGCCTCCAAAACTTTCGCTACCCCTCCATGAATCTCTCCCTCTTCTCACTTCAGCTCACATGTTTGATACATGTAACCACGCAGCCTACCTCTCCCATCAAAAAATGACTAATCATCACGGCCTGATAGTTCAGTGGTAGAATTCTTGCTTTGGGTTATCCAATCTCAAATTGTAAGAGGTCTCCGGTTCGATCCCGGATTAGGCCCGTTCGAATATCCTTTTGCTTTTGATGGACGATTGAGGGAGAATCAGATGGGGTCATCGCTCTCATCCGTTTATTCCTTTCTAGGAATTTACCCCTCTCCCAAGTCATGGTTTCGATACTTTAAGATGGCGGAGAACAACGATAGAATATTGTCTTGGAAAATTGATAAGAATGTGGTTGTGATTGAGAATGATATGAATACGAGACATGAATGTGGCTTGGATATGATGCTAATTTTTGCATTGGGCTAAATTGGGTTGCATATCGCAAGGGTAGAGATAGTGTTTCATTTCCCAATTGATCGCATCAAAAACATAGGTGATTGCGAGTCCGCGACCCTTGTGAGGAACTTGATATCTTGAGTCTTGACCTCCTCTCATTAATTTAGCTTTTGAAGCCAGTCAAGTCAGTCAGTCTACTGGATAGAGGTTCTATCTCTCTGCCGATTTCACAGACAACTACATGAATCATACGACTTCTGTGATATCTATGAAGGGAAAGGAAGTTACATCATTCAACTCATGTCCCGAAAATTCACTAATTCACTTATTAGCTTTTGTGGTCCGTTCGTGCAGCAATTCTCCACTTAGTGAAAAAGTTTTCGACGGCACGGTGGAGCCCATTCATCAAGATTGTGTCCATCCTTCAAACCCACCACATGGTCCACATCCAAATTGAAAGATACAACAGTAAAGCCAAGAGTTTCACAAAGATCATGGTTTCTTGAGGAAATCTGCGTGAATTAAATTTTACATGTGAAGAAACAAAATGCCAATGTTCTGGCCCCACCATCGCAAAGATTTCCCCTCGAGCCCTGCTTCAACTTCAATCCATCACAACTTCATCAATATTCAATTAATCACGACTAATTCTATGTCAAAATGAAGGTCTTGAATACGGCAAAAAGATTGATCACTGGCGGTTTCGAACCGCCGACCTTGGCGTGCCAAACCTATTTGAATGAACAGAGCAGATATTAGCACCACGCTCTAACCAACTGAGCTAAGCGACCTGATTGGTTACTGATTGTTGAAAATAAGATTCGAAATGTATATTATATTCGTAGCAAAAAACTAAACAAAAAGGAGAGTGTGTGAAAGGGTTTACTGGGTGGGGGTCAGTGGGGGGTGGTAACAATTCAGAGTTTCTTCGGTACCTTTACACTTGACTCGCATAACCCAGACAGGGGTAAGGACTTCAATACTTCATCTTTTTAAGTTTTATGCTCGATTGGCTTCATATCAATAAATATATTCAAGTATAAATTTCAATGTGGAAGAAAATGCCTCATTGTTGAATCTTTCGTCTGCTTGTTTCAGATCTCAAGGTTCTATTTAAAATAGATTGGTGATTAAAGTCAAGAAAATTATTCAGGGTGATCAGGATCCCGCCGGGTTTTTCTTGGCCATGTAGAGCGCACTGTATATCTTCAACCACAGTGATCGTTGGCAGAGAGGAACACTTCGTATATACGAACACAAGAAGTGTGTGGATTTTACGATATACACCCAGGGAAAACTTGTCTTGTCCTCCCACTTCGTATTGCATCATGACAATGAATTGTCGACTATTCGAATTTTAAGTTCATTTCCGCATTCACATATACCCCAGTTGGATTTAGCTTAGGACACGATGCTCGATATTCTATCTTGAAGCATAGTCTATCGCCTTGTTAAAATTCAAAAGTGCCGGGCCGTTACTGATACCTGTTTAGTTATGGTTTAAATCAGCCGTGGACATGAGTCACTCTTCAAATCGACATTCACGGCTCCAAGTTTACTACCGGTAATTGACGTTTTTCAAATCTTTCCCAAGGGTCGAGTGGCCCGGATAATGATATTGATACTATCAAGTGGTGCGTAGGAGAAGAACTGTTGGACTGTAGTAACCATAAATTCTAGGAATAGTTTCTGTAGTTCAAATGGCTAAGCCTTAATGATGCCTGTAGTCATGACGAGAACGGCACGTCTTTGCAGTATTGACAACTGTAGCTTGTCTTGTGGCATTTCAATACAATTAATAGCTAGAGCCTTGTAGGCTATACTTCTCATGTCTCTCAATACGGTAGCTGAAGCAGGTGTCGTGGAAGTGTATCTGGCTTCTACGGTGTAGGGTGTCTGTCTCTACCATGAAAGCAGACTCATTCATCAAACGATCATGAAAACAATCAGAGAAAAAAAAATGTTGTATTTTAAACAATGAACTTAATGAATCTTTCAGTCAAGAGCTGAATCTAAGGTGGGATATCGAACAGAGAGTACTTCGTAGGCAAATAATGTAGTGATCTGTTTATACCAAGTGACATGCCTATTCGGAGATTGTAACTTGAACAGTTGAAAAGCTGTATGATAATTTAGCGTGGTTAAGGCTCTGTCCCTTTGCAATATGCTAGATGATATGCTGGAGAGTCCCGATGCTATATCTAGTAAGTATATGATGGAAACAAACTACATTGACTATTGATTCGAGAAAGAAGAGGTGGGTAGAACTCATAAAGTCAATAGGCCCGCCTTTGATTATTCCATATCGTGTCAGACCGCTTTCATCCATCTCAACAGAACAACAATAAAGCCAGTGAAAAACTCTAGAAAATGGATTAAGAACTTCTCCTACATAGTCACAAATATCTGCTTCAAATCCGGCCACTGGCTGTCATGATCTGGATCGGTTGCTTGAGGGAACAATTTGTGTTACCATAGGTGGGAATCTTTGGGAGCTTTAGGTGTGTATGGAATTTGCAACAACAAGATAGAGTGATTAAGGAGCAGTTCATTAACAACTAAGAAGAAATCATTTGCAACACCATCGGATATCTCGTGGCGCTCTTCCATGATCTCCAAAAGTTTCCGCAGAGTCGAGACATCTGCCCGATCAAGTGATGGGTCAGAGATCTAGACTGCCAGATGCTTTGGAGGTAGGTTAGATTCTATTTTCCGACACTCAGAGAGATGATGTATCTTAGTATCATCATAGAGCTTGGTGGATTGCTCCCATCCTATTTCGGCTCTTGCTCTATATGATGTCAAAAACGTAATAAATTGCATACCGGGGTTATCCAAACGATCTCACGTGAAGCAATTCCTCTGCTCATTTTGGTATTGATGGCATATTCCACCGCTCTGCTTGATCATCTAAAGATTGAGATGACCTTCCTAGGCGTCTTTGAGTTCTATGTAACGAAATTGATTGTTCCGTTTATCTATGCTTGATGGAACAGAGTCTACCTGAGTCTCGGTGAGAACATCTACCGTGTTTGCCTCTTACCCTCTATGCTCTGGCATGGTAAGGTCACTTCTCTTGACAGTTGCAGTTTTTTTAGTTTGATGGTCTCTGGGCTATTTGGCTTATGTCTTCCCTCAGTGCATGCTGATTCATCCACAATTCGCTCGTAAAATCTCTCATCTTTGATATACATTTATTGAGCAGACGATCAAAGGAGACTCGTATTGTGTTGTTATGTTACCTCTGTATAATGGGGAGATTGGAGTACATTTGTTCTTGCTTCAGACATGCTGTAGTGTTTTGCAAGATGACCTCTTGAAAGCTATCATCTGTCGTACTTCTCTATACTCTTGCAACAAAGGCCAAATGATCTTGCTGTCTCTATGTTGGCGTTATAATGAGCATTCCTTCGATCTCGCTCGTACATAGTTCTTCCCCTTTATCCAAAAGATTGTGCATGTACGACATCTTTCCGTGGCCGCAACTATCAAAGATGCATTAGAAGTGTTCAATCTCCTTTTAATCTTCATAGAGATCTTTAATGGAAGCACTGGACAACTTAATCAATATCGGATAGATATAAAAGCTCGAGTACCCTCATCGCGAAGATGAAATTTCAACAATCAACATCAAAATGTCAGGTTCGCCCAATGTCGAATTCGAGCATAGAATTTCTCAATCTAAACTACCCGATTCAATTCGCTGGCAATGCACCCCGGGGGTCGACTATCAACTGATAATTCAATGAAGAGAGGTTCTCCAGTCATTTGTCTAGCCTCAGAAGCAGGTTGTCTATGGTATCAAGCTTGTATTCGTTTGTGGGTTAAAGTAGTTCATATAAATCAAGGGAATTATTCTAAACGCAGTAAGCAAGCAAGCTTAATGGGAGGCATGACAATTGTTCTCATCATGCTGATATCTACCTGGGATGCAGTGCGAAGAATGTAAGGCGTTTGTTTGAGTCCATGGATGGCATTGTAAGAAAGCTATCATTGTCTGTTCTTTTGAGTAAGATGTTTGACAAACTTTGTGTTTACCAGAAATTGGCATTAGTAAAGGAAGGGGGAGGGGGCTACAATAGAGATCCCCCGGGAATATTTGTTAACGCGCACGAATAAAGCAAGCTTGAAGCACCAACGAGACTTGGGAGGGCTGGGACACTCAGGCTTTCCTTCTAAATGTTCGGTTTTCGAATTGTGCGAAAAGACGCAGAAGCTTTTAATATTGAATGTCTTGCTTATACCCAGTAGTGAGCCAGAGCCAGACATCGTCAAAGTGATTCGACAAGCGAGCAATGCCTGTGAAATGGCCTATCAAAAATTTAGTGACGTTATCACTTGAAACGAAGTGAAGAGGAATAAGCCATGGTGGTTGAAGGGTGTTAGCTGGCTCATGAGCGGCTTGCCTCGGAGTAACAAAATTGAAACCAGATTCTGAAAACAGGGTTTTCGAAATGGAATTTTCTCTGTCGCTTTACCTCTCATGGAATTATTCAACAAGACTTATGCGCCCCTTGCAACAAGCATCGCTTAATCAAAATGAGTTGGCATTATCCCAACGACGACGGAGTCAGGAGACTCGATGTTCCGACTCTGGAAGACAGTATGATTGTCGATTGTCACTTCGCATGACTTATGGATGATAGCATGTCATACAGATGATACCTTGAACCGAAATATCACTCGCAAATTATGCTGAGAGTAATTCGAAGCCCCCGAACATCAAGATACGTTGTACCATTGCACACGAAGATGGCACGGTGGGCACTCTCGAGAATCTTGAGAACATCCCAAGACAAACCTCACGATAGATAGGTACTGCTACGTTCTTCATTGAAGGATTCTTATTTAAATGAAAACCACAAAAGTCTGTTTTGAAGACCTTCACCCTTCGCCCCACCCATTCCATTTTCAGTGGCAACACCTCTGTCTCCACCCCACCCTACCCCACCACTCTAACGAGCCATGAATCCCCACTCCACCGCTTCCCAAACCAGCAAGATTCCTCTGCTCGCCAAAAAAAAATTGCCAAAAAAGTAGACGGAACCCTTGGATCCCAGCTTCAAACTGGGTATGGAAGAAAGAATGTCCTTGTGAGAACCTTCTAATAGGAATCGAACCAATATCTCCGGAATCAAAATCCGACGTGCTAACCATTACACCATAGAAGGGTTTTTGCGTCTGTACTTAGATGATCAGCACGTCGGATTCTAGTATTATATTTCTGATTAGAAAGGTAAATATTAATGAAAAAAACGGATGCTTGCATTTCGATTATGAAATAGAGAAGATGTTGACTTTGGGATTATTTAAGAGCACAGGAATAAAATTATTATATTGAGGTTCTTATGGGAAGTTTATATGTAGTATTTTTTGTATTAGACTAAATTGTGTAGTAATGTATAAGAATGATATGAGAGTGATTATATGTATAATATGAATTAGCATATTCATATGAAGTAGAGCAATTATACGAATTGAGATAATGATAATATGATGTCAATCGGGATAATGATATTAATTAGAATAACCATATCAATTGAGACAATGATAATATGATATTAATTAGAATAATGATATCTATTAGGACAATCATAGGGATATGAAAGAGGGCGGAGCGTTATAAGGGGTTTCCCCTTTGTGTCTGCACTCTCATTTTTACTCCCGAGCACATGGGCTCTAAAACGATGCCGGCGCCAGGTCGCATACAATATACATCAAAACTGTATATATATGTTCAAATCTTGCCCACATTGAATGTGATCGAGAACAACCTCGCTACTGGGCAGTTCTTGTCAACATTACTGTGGCTAGAGACTTGAGTTGCCACATTGAACACTATAATGTTTGACAGCGACACGGTATTCAATTTGAACTCGAGGTTTCAAAATTGCTTGGATCACCTACTTTGACTCAGAGCTTAAAAGCTTCTGATTGTCGGACTACGGTCCGGGCTACTGGAATGTTGCCTCAAGAAACTCAAGAAACTACTGTCAAACTCCAAATGATGGAAACTTGGCACTATCGTAGGCTCTCAAAATGTCCAATCGCAGACGAGATTCTTCTCAAAATAACCTCAAGATCCATGACAAAAATCATCTTGGTGCCGTTATGACTGTGGCATCGGTTGTAATGTGGCAAACAGCAATCCTTCCATGGAACAAATGTGCAAAGTAGAAGACAGAACGAACACAAATATTCGATCTCTACATCATGGAGAACAGCCACAATATGATATCACCACACTGGCAGAAATATCTATCGAAGCTTAGAACCGAATATATCCTCCCATAATAATGATGCTACATCGAAAGTTGCTCGTCCCATCGGTCACAAACCTGTTTTCCCCTAGCTCTAGCACCATCAATATCAATTCCACAATCATCATCATCATTATCGACCTCATTAACATCATCGTTTCCACCAAAAAAACATGGAAATGGCATTAGATATGCAACAAAAGTATCAAATAACTCCGCGATAGTTATGGCGCTTCACTCTGTGCCACAAGCAGTTTTTTGGTCATGATTAGAATTGAATGGACTGATATCTTCGTAAATAATCACGTGTAAGTACATGTTTCACCGCCATTTTCATCTGCCCATACGTTCACAAACACGACGTGCAAAGGGTTTGGAAGCATGGTACTAAGTATCATTGTAAAAATGAGTCAACCAAAATACCATTCGATGAGACACATGGATAGCTTCTTGCTATAGCATACAGGAAAGCAAAGCGAGTCTGCTGAGATACACTACATTCACTGCCATTTATTCCGTTGAAGTTTAGCAACGATGATTTCTGGGTCTGAAAATGTCCGTTTAGTAAGAATACTGTCAAGCAATAGATGCTGTTCTGTGTGTTCCAACTTGTGTTTCATATGATACGGAGTCACTAGAGAGCCAGTACAGTCAGGAGTTTCGAGAGGGGTTTTTTTGACAATATGAGGTTACGCTAGCATATTCATCTTTTTGCAAACTCAGCCACAACAACAATTGAAGGAACAATAAATTGATATTTTAATGGCAAATTTGGGCTTTTTGTTAAACAATTCTCGCGCTAGATTGACTTGGAATCATTCTTTCGCGACAATTATCTGGAAAATCCTGCCATACACGCTCGGCTTGCTGCTTGGCTATGTATTACCCCTTTCCTTTTGCCTATCTACTTTACATGCTACCGACACAAATATTGCAGCACCAATGCCCCATCAACAATACTAAGTCGACTAGTTTTGGTGACCTTGATGATCGTTCATCACTGTCGCAAGTTACGAGCTAAGTGACTAGACGAACAACTTAGAGCTGATGGAACCAACCAGACTTTGTCAGAATACGGTATCATGCATTTTCAGCAGCAGGAGACCTGGCTCTCGGCGTCATCCTTGGAATGCAGCTCTTCAATTAACCTAGGCGAGTTCACACTGTATATCACATCATGCCTCCCACACGGCTTTACCAATCCCGTTTTCATAGAAACGCGGACGCGCAAGGTTTTCTTTAATATCCGTATACCAGAATGCGGTTTATTCGTCTGCCAGTTTAGCCAAAGGTCCCCGGCTATGCTTAATCCGGCAAGCATCGTCAGTCGTTATACGCGGTGATTTGCTTTCGATGTTTTCATTCGTACATGGGTATGAGCGCCGAATTCAATTCCCATCAGCCTGCCATTATTCGAAATCTCTAGGGATACCCATATTTCAACATTTGACGAATACCTATGTCTAGGCTCGCACAATGGTTTGCTGTTCGACAGCGCAATCCTGGTTGTTCATGATGACCATCAAAACCATCTCCATGCTCTTTCTGTCTCAGACCAAGTTAACCATGCTTGGGGAAAGATGGCACACGGTCGCCCAGCTGGACTCGGA